CCCCAAAACCCCAAAACCCCAAAACCCCAAAACCCCATTTTTGTAATTTTAGGTTGAAATTTAGCCTATTTTTGGTCCTTGTTCAAATACTTCAAAATCCCAACGTCATTAATGGCAAGTTCGCTCTTCTAAAGCTCTCATGTGATTAGCTTACTTTAGACTTCTTTAATACCAAATTTGGGTTCAAAATTGTTCTCTTGTGATGATATGCATACTTATCTAAAAACAAATTAGTTGAGACTAAGAGAGGACAAAGACCTACCTTTTGTGCTAGATATCTTTGCTGGGGTGTTAAAAGCGCTGGTATACTTCCGTCCTAACTCTAGACTTCCGATTCCATCCATCCTTGTGCCTAAGAATTAGCCTGATCTATTACCCTTCTGTCTTGAATTTGATATGAGGATGTTTATACTTGGCTTCCTCAAATTAGACTTACTACCTGCCCTTGAACCTCCCTAGAAAAAGTTATAGCAGTGAAGAAATGGACCTCTGAATGGGTGAGCTTACTGTTTGAGAGTAGCTAGGATTACTCCTTCGCCGGCTTTCTTCGTAACTGCCAACGTCACTCTTTTCACCAGTTTCATAGTTTTTAGCAAAAAGCCGGTCTAATATATTTTTCATCTTATTTTCAGCAGGTTTCTTGTCGGGTTCTTTTAGAAGCATTGGTGCAGATAGACTCTTTTCAGTGCTTTCTCTAAGTCTCTCTTCCTTTATAGGCTTAATCTCTATATTATTATCCAAGATTGTTACTTTTGATTTCAAAATCTGAATCATTATAGTCAAGTTTCTCAGCAGGAGAGATTACCAAGCTATCGCTTTGGTTAAGTTTACTTTCCTTCTGGAGGGAAATCTTGGGTAATTTCTCATGGCTTTTCTTGTTCTTTCGAAATACGATCCTTCTTTTACCGATTAAGTTAGGGTTCTTGTTTTTACTAGCTGGTGCGACAGACTTAAACCTTTGATTTAATGGGTAAACTGTTTTGTCCTAAAAATATAGCAATATAATTATACCGTTGATATATTGGTAATCCTTCTAGCCTTATTTGGCTTCTTACTAAACCCTAGAAATATTACTCCAACTGAGAATAGGAGAGGGAAACATACCTTTCGAGTTAGCTTTAGAGGAGGGAGCACCACACTGGGTGATAGTAGAGGGCACTATCTTCTTAACAGAGTTGCTCTTGTCGCTTAAAGACCTCATACTCCTCTTTGAGGAGTTTTCTGGTTGAGAAAATTTCCGTGCTCTTAAGAAGTAGCTTCGTCCATTCCTTAAGCTGGTGTTGTTTTTCCAAGAAGGGTTTCCTTCATCATGGGAGTATTCTCCTTTGCTATATTCACTGATTTCATTTCTTTGGGATCTATATCCATAGTATCGAGACTCAAATTTTAAATTTATGAAGAAATATCAATATATAAAATCACCATAAAATGCGATAACAACAAGTTATTGGTTAAAACACCTGAAAGCCTTACTGAAGAGCCTTAGAAATACTGAAATTCTCTCGATGAGGACATAGCATTTTAAAATACTTCTTCACTCTCTGATGAATGGTTTCATTGTTCTTATACCGAGTGGAGCCCTTCAGGAGTACTTTTTCTTTCAGCTTCATCTCTAAATAAAATATGAGGACATATAAATAAGCGTTATAACTTCTGAGACAAATTTTTTACTAACTAAAGTTTATATATTACCTTGTATCTTCTGCATAATCCTGATCTTATTGCCAGGCCTCTTCAGAGCTTTCTGGTTGATATTTATATGTCTCTGGTTTATCGGAGGGACTTCAGAGCTCATTTCTTATCTGGTTCTCAATTAAATTACAAAATTTAGGGGTTTTGGGGTTTTGGGGTTTTGGGGTTTTGGGG